TACAAAAGATTCTCCATTATTATTTAATTAAAAAGTTGTACATTATTTTTCATTTCATTTAACCAGTTGATATTTCCCCAAAGAACAGGTCAAACTTTCGGGTATTTACCTGGAAATACTCATAAAATTTTTAAACCGAAACCCGCGTAAGTATAGCGAACAGACTGTAAAGGTCCGAGTAAAAGAAGAAGAAGAAGGGAGAATATTATGTCTCTCCCTCAAATAAAAATTACATTTCATTCTAAATCGATATTAAGAATACTCTATTACTTATCAAACGTCAATAAATAATAATTAAATAAATATTAAACCTAGTAGTGCGAAAACATTTTTATTTACACCACTAGAACATCTGAAAATATTATCTTAAAATTTATCTAATTTAAAAAACTAAATACCAATTATTTGGTGATATCCTTTCAAAAATATGAAGCCTACGTTCATGTACAGATTATTCTCCAATCTATAATTTGTCTTTTGTAGGTGAATGCTGGATTAAAATCGCATCCAACCATTAACTATTTTGAATAGGTATGTCACATTCACAGTTGATTTGTCGTACCCAATAATTGCCGGATTTTGATTCTCTAAAATTACAGTTCACTGAGCAGAATTTTTTACTTTGATTACATACGTACTTTATAGCGGTTTTGAATATTTTTACTATAGAATATACTTGTCCCCTTATAGAGCGTGTTGCTTGTTTTTGACTGTAACTTCAGACGGACAATTTTAAAATTTTAAATTTAGATGAATATTGAAAGTTTTGGTTTCTTGAAAGTGAACCTATAATACTCTTCAAAAACTACTGTGTGAAGAATATATTAATTAAAAATAAAATTAGAGATTAGGTCAGTTTGCATTTATTTCTATTATTTTCAAGAATATATTCATTTCAAAGTACTTATTTTATTGTAATAACTGCATTAAAAATATTATTATTTCCTTGTTCACACATTTAAAGTACTTTTTATGATATTCAAATAATTTATTATTATATTGAATAGTTAAAAAAAAAAACATTAAAAGATTGGTTAAAAGTTTAATGTCAATGGAACCGACATTACATGACACGAATGTATTGTTAATAATGTGTAAATAAATGTTTTGAATTGATTAAATTTTATTTTTTAACTTTATTAACTGTAGATTTTGTGACACGGGATCCAAAAAAAAAAACAATCTATTTATTATATATAACCGTTTTACAGTTAGGTAATTCGTTAATCTTTCCGCTATTTAATTTTGTTCAGACCAAAATGTAAGTAGGTAGGTAAGTATCGTCTTTAATAATAAAAAGTTTTTATTCACGGTTTTTCATCCTCTTGTTTGTTGTACTTAAAAGAAAAAAAAATATATTCTAATATTTTTTGTACCTAATGTTATTTTACCTGTATCATCCTATAAGAGTTTGTAAATTAAATCCCAATGTTTTTAATTTCGGCAAAATACCATTCATGAAACGCTTGACAAATTATTCAATAAAGCATATAAAAACAAATCTAGAACTATCCACATATTGATTGAGCCTCTATACTCAGATTTTCTGGTTTTACAATTATTTTATAGTCGTAGCAAAAATATTGTACATAACTTGTGTAAAAATGTCACTTTCAACGCTCGTAATGTAATATAGTACAGTAAAGACATAAATAATTGAAATATCGAAGAAATAACTAAATGGACACCCAGGTATATTATGAATTTAAAATATTAAAATTTTGGACAGATTACAAATTTTTAAAAAGTATTATTATTTTGGTTGAATAATAGTCGCAATATAAAATTAAAAAAATAAGTTTGCTTGCCACCATCTATAGATAACTACTATCAACTATACCTCTACAGAATATAGCTTACTTTGCCAAAACAGATTCAACTTTTAATAGTCTCTATCAGATGTCGCTATAGTTAACTATTTACACCTCTTATATTCAAGAAATATAATTGAATTCAGTGCAATAAACTGGAGTAGAGTAGAAATGCCAATAAATGTGCATGTTGTAGTTGTATTAATAAAACTAGTTGCGACTCTATGGTGGACGCAGCCATTTTTATTTTTTATCTCACTAAAGAATATTTATAATAACAATTTTCTATTATAATTTTCCTACATATCTACTCTAAGGGGTACTTTACTCTGGTCAATTTTGACAAAATTAGTGCCAAGTACTAGAAAAAACGCGGTAAATTGCTTAAACTTCTCACACGTAATACTCATTACATTACCTTTTTGCCAGGTGAAACCATTTTTCCCCCATCGCCTAGGGGTACTTTACGCTTGTCAATTTTTACGAAATTAGTGCCAGGTACTAGAAAGAACGCGCTAGATTGCTAAAACTTCGCACACGTATTATTTATCTCAATACCTTTTTAGTGCTGGGATGGGGAAATTTGTTTCACCTGGCAAAAAGGTATTGGGATAACTATTTTGTGTGCGAAGTTTTAGCAATCTAGCGGGTTTTTTCTAGAACCTGGTACCAATTCTGTCAAGATTGACAAGACAAAAGTACCCCTTTAAGGCAATGGGGGAAAAATGGTTTCATCTAGCAAAATAGTAATGTAATGAGTATTACGTGTGTGAAGTTTAAGCAATCTATCGTGTTTTTTCTAGTACTTGGCACTAATTTTCTCAAAATTGACTAGAGTAAAGTACCCCTTGGAGGAGATGGGGGAAAAATATTTCACATGGCAAAAAAGTATTGGGATAAGTATTACGTGTGTGAAGTTTTAGCAATCTAGTTCGGTTTCTCTAGTACCCGGCACTTATTTTGTCAAAATTGACAAGAGAAAAGTATCCTTTGGAAAACATGGCGAGAAAAATAGTTTCACTTGGCAAAAAAGTTTGTATTACGTGTACGAAATCTCAGCAATTTACCATGTTTTTCCAGTACCTGGCTCTGATTTTGAACCCCTTGCAGGCGTTGGGGGGAAAAATTGTCTCACCTGGCAAAAAGGTATTGGGATGTCATGTTAGAATTATTAACTCCTAATTATTACTCGTTTAGTACCTGGCAGCGGTCAAATTCCAATCCGCAAATTAGTCAAACTCAGAAATAACTGACTGAAAAATTCCTTTCCACTATTCTGAAAGCGAATATTTTCAACAAAATTACTCTAAAAAATACTGGAAAATCTAAATAATTAAAATATTTGTCTGTTCTGTGTTTAACAGAAGAAAAACAATTCATAACTAGGCATGGGATAAAATAACCGATATTTCAAGTAACCGGTTAACCTAATGGTTAAAATTCGGTTATTTTCAGTTATTATTTTGATCAGGTTTAACCTAATAACCTGATTCACTAACCAATAACCGACAATTGGTTATTTAAAAAAATTACTACCTACTTACAATGGTTATTTTTTTATGTGTCATCGGCATCAACTGCTACGGTTATTAGCCTCGTGTTCTGTGTAGGCTTTGTTACTGTTTCCCAGTGCCACTTTAGGAACAGCACTGTTAATTAGTACCCAACAGTGAATGGTCGAGTGGGAAATCCAACCAAGGCATCAGAATTAATTTTAAAACAATGGTTATTATAAACTATTGAGATTATCAGTTACCGCTTTGTCGCTTACATGGTTTCAACCACAAGCAGTTACAACCGGTGACTCGCGGAAATTCCCTTACTCTACTCCGAGTTTGACCTTTTAGACTTAGACAGTTGCGTTGGGTTTGTCAAGCTCCTTTAACTCCTTTTGACATACTGCTATGTAATTTTATACAAAGTTTAAACAGTATATTTATAGTTCTAGGCTGCGAATTTGGCGCTGCATTCTTATTTTCCAGATGCCAATAATTACAGTTACAAGTTAAATATTTAAAATAGGGGAACAGTAATTTATTAATTTGGTTTTTAATAAGGCTACTCGTAATAGTAATAAAATTATATAAAGGTTAATCACATAAGGTTATATTTCCTACAAAAATAACTGGTTAACCGATAACCGGTTATTTTTCAATAACCGCCCATGCCTATTCATAACCATAGTTTTGTCAACTTTGGCGTAGGTACGTAGGGATCCCTGACATTGCCAGTCACAAATCTGCTTTACTGGTTGCCTACATTGCCTGCGTGCAATAATAGTGCCTTTTGGTAGCGCTTTTTTCTATACGCCCTTATACATTTTTTGCCAAAATTCATATTTTTGCCGCTAGAGAGCGCCAAAAAAAACAAAAATATATATTTTCCGGTTTTTTTTTATTTGAAAACCACGCGCTTTCGTGAAAAATTTCTTAAAAGCAAAGTTGTAGAGCAGAAAATTTTCGTTTGAACCTATAGAACAGATTTTTTAAAAACCTATCGTTTCCTCCGCTGCAGCGCATGTGGACATGGGTCATTTTACTTTTAGTCTTATATTCTTTCTCTAAATTAAAACAGTATCTCTCTTTCGGACAGTTGTGACCAAAATTGAATGATTATTTATTTGAAAAAACTTACTGTCACTTTCCGCGCATGCACTGTAGACGTGGAAACGATGGGTTCGATAGAAAATTTTTCGCTTTACAACTTGACTTTGATAAAATTTTCCACTAAAGTTCGTGGTTTTCATATAAATTGCGAAAAACTGCAAAATATATACATTTATTTTTTGGCGCGCTCTAGCGGGAAAAATATTAAGTTTGGTAAAAAATGTATAAGTATATAATCAATAGAAATTCGTTTGTTCTTCAAAGTTTAGTGAATTTTTTAATGAAAATGCATCGTTTTTGAGAAAAATACAAAAAATTGTGCCAAAATGCCGAAAAATGTATATATGTATATATATACTTTCTTCCGTTCATTCTCATTTCTGCGCATAGTGAAATTTTGTCAAAATTAATCAATACGTTCATTGTTATCTGGGTTTTTATGCTGTACTAAAAATTTCTTCAATTTATATTGCTGGATGTTTCTAAACTACGCAAGATGTCGCTAGGAGTAACGAATATTTAAAATTTTCGGATGGTGTTAAAACAAGTCTTCTATCTCACTCTGTTAGATCCATTTTCATTTCTTATTTCACTGCATTCAACATTGGTCTTCAGAGCAGGGTGTCGGTTTTTAAAAAGAGCGAATAGTTCAGAGCGAACTCATTAAAAATATTGAAATTTAGTGTCAATATCCGTCCGAAAAAATCCGATTCTCGCCTTTGGGTTTTTAAAAAGTGCTAGTTTGTGATTATTGTGTGTGGAATCTTAATTGTTTGAGAAAAATTCGCAGTACAGCTTTATAAGGTGAGCTCCTTGGATGTGTTTATTTTTTCGCTTGTCGTGAGAAGGTAAATATTTGCCTTTTTGATGAGCTGCTTAAAAAGTGTTCTTTATCTAGTTGAAGTGGGGTCTTTATAATTTCGTTTTCAGTTTGAGATTGAGTGATGCTAAAAATACCCAACCGATCTCGCTGTTTTAAAAGCATGTACTTATTTTACTTTTTGGATTTTTTGTATCACTGAAGGCTTAAAATAACCCGACTAACATCAGTGAAAACCGCTCGGAAAAACCCGACTTTTCACTTACAATTTTCGTGCTGAAGTAAATGAACTCGCAGCTGTCTTTACAGCTGATGAATACCTGAATACCCTGCATCGTGAATCGAATTAACAACATCGGGGGATTTAAATTTTTCTTTGACTCCTACCAACACGTTTACTTCCTGATTATAAGATTAAAAGGCTTCGGAAGCCTTTTAATATATTTTGTATGCTTAATTAAAAAAAAAAAGAATACATATCACACAACAAAGATTATAGGTGAATTTTTGCCAGTAGATAAATTAATTTGGCAATTATTTTGTTGATAATTAAATATAAGCTACAGTTGACTGGTACATGTTTTTTAGGTTTTTAAAAACCTAATAATTTTGTAATTTTAGGTTTTAAATAAGAATCTACAATTTTATTAATCAACTCATAGGAGAAAGGGTGCCAGTAGTATACGAAAACAAATGCAAATATTTTATTAAACGCCATACCATTGTAACTTTTTGATATTGATATTAAAAAAACAAACATTTATTTATTTTTTACTTTTTAGTTTTGTTTGCAAAATGTTTTTTTAATTTAATAAAACTATTTTTCAAGTTTTGCTTGTATTTTTTGTTTAACTTTAATAACAGTGGCGCATCCAGAGTTTAAGTTTGGAGGGTAGTGAAAATATTGACTTTATTTCTGATTAATTTAAAAACAAAACAAACAAAAAACATAATACAAGTAAATTTAAAAAGAACAACTTTTACATGTATAATAAATATTAAACACATTTTAAAAATATTAATAACACGAAAGCTTATAAATGAAAACATAACTAAAACAAACAAAAATATTTTCTTGGCCATAACATACTCGCATGACCAGAAAACATGAAATGAAATTATCCTAATTTGTAAATAGTTACTTAGGTATTGTTTTACTTTCCCAAAACATTTTCGTTTTTACTCAGTATTGTAATTATTCCTTTCTATAACTCTGCGATCCGCTTCTATTTTCTCAAAACATTTTCTTTTCTAACCATTATTGTAATTTTTCAATCTTTCTGTACTCTTTGTGGTCCGCTCATTTTCTAAGTTTATAGTTAGGTGCGTACCTCGGTATGTTCCATTCAAGATATAGAAAGGTACGTATGGATCTTCAGTATGCTTGTTTTTTTTTTTTTTTTTTAAATTCTTGTAGGAAAATTATTTATTCTTCATTAAAATTAATTTAACTTAACTTATTCATGAAATAAACTTATTGCATTTGAAGTAACATAATTTTTAAATGTTCGTCATCTGATAAGTAAAAAAAAGGTAAACAAAATGTTTGTCATGCGGTACCAGGCAACTTACCTGATTTCTTTAACAAAAAAGAAATGATAATAATATTGTAGGTACCTACTCTCAACGTAGATGCCTAAAACAAGAACAAAACAGTAAATATTTGAAGAATCCTAAGATTTTATGTTTTCTCGAAATAGGTAAATAAAAATTGGCAGAATCTCAAGTCTGTCGCATATTTATGTGGGCGAAATTTATTCGAAATAGTTTCTATCATAATAACTTTTAGTAGGTACAGCTTTGTTCCCGTTTCTCGAAAAATTTCGACAAAATCAAATTGTAAGGAAAGATAGTTCGATATGACATATATGCTTGGCAGGAACATATCTGGATTATTTTAATTATTATCAGATTTTGTGGTAAACTGGACTGTTTAGAAGGATACGTTTCGTGTTGTGGTTAATTTTTGATTTATTCTATACTAGAAAGCGAAGCTAGTCTAAATACTTATTTCAACTAGCTATAATTTTTCCTTTGGATTTGATATTATATAACAGTTTTCCAATTTCTTAACATCAACAGACAGACCACGTATAATCATTAGTTCTTTTATTTCTATGAGATTTGGAAATGTAACCGAAGCTATTATCTTTTATGGGTAATTATAAGATCAAACGAACTTATCTGAAGTGAAGTTCAATCTTAATTATATTTCTGCCTCGTCTCGTAAATAAGATATATTGTCGACCCCTGTATATGCTTCGATTCGACCACATAGTTGAAAGCTGGAACTATTTGATATATTCCCTTCTCCACCAATCCCCTCATCCCAACACTTTGCTTTAGTCATTTCATAGCATAGCATAGTAGGTATCATAAAAAATACCAAAAATTTTCGTTCAATACCTAACTATTTAGCAGTGAAAGAATCGTACAAATAAAATACGTATTAATTTTCGGCATTAAGGCAATTACTTACCGTTTTCAATGACACAATAACTTTATTGTTGATATGAGGGGAGAATTGCTTAACAAAACAATAACTTTGTAGATTCTATCGGAGAATTTCTGGCCTAAACCATCTATACAACACGTTCTAAACGCGTAGAACGCTGTATCGACTTTTTTTTGAATGTTTATTATGAGGTTTAGTCATCCGTACACTTTGTTTTTGAATTTACTAGGAAAAATAATATAGATGTGATCTATACCGACACATACACAAAGACTGAAGCAAAGTGTTGGGATGAGGGGATTGGTGGAGAAGAGAATATATCAAATAGTTCCAGCTTTCAACTATGTGGTCGAATCGAAGCATATACAGGGTCGACAATATATCTTATTTACGAGACGAGACAGAAATATAATACCTATGCCTTGTGTATTGTGAGCTTGGGTTTTCTGGGATAAGGATGCTTGGGCTTTTTGCTTGATCGTTAACATTTATTGTAAAATGAAATTTAGTTTGTGTTAGAGATCACCTTGGATTTTCTGGCATAAGGATTCTTGGGCCTTCTGCTTGATCGTTAACATTTATTGTAAAATAAAATTTAGCTTGGGTTGCCACAGTGATTGAGTGTTTTGACTAGACTGCGTTATCCGAAAATATTATTTGTAAATCATGCCACTTCCATTGGCATGTACCTTATGGGCTAAGAGATGGTACTCTCTAAATGTTCCACAATTCTGTTTGCTTTTTGAAAATTGTTCCGGACCCAGCTTTTTAATTGGTGGGTTATGTATAATCGGTACTTTTATCGTTAGTTAATTCACTTAAGTATTCGCCAATAGACTCATTTTTAATGCGTCATATTTCGTTTTAGCTGTTGTGTTGCATTATTAAGTTGGTTTATCATCAAATGCTCTAGACTATTAACCATTTTCTTCGAATTTTTTGTTTTCTGAAATAAGATTTCTGATCTCTTTTGTAAAAATATTACATTGCACTTTGCATTTATTCTCAAATTGCTTGCTGAATATTTTTGACAACTTCTTGGTCTAATTATTCCTTAGTATTTATCAACGCCGCCTCGTACAACCAGAAAATGAAGAAAAAAGTACGGCGAACTATTTAATCCTTCGTATCCTGACGATGACGATTTGCGTTTTTTTTCGTTGAAATGAAAGTACTAGCGAATTTGCATATCGCATTGCCCACCGCAGTCTAATACCATTGGCGGTACCACGCGTTTTACCGTCACGATACTGAAATGCCTCTTCATATGGAAACGAAACCCTCCCACGAGTTGGTCGTTCATTCAGTATGCGATTTGATAAACACATTGTAGGCCAGTTGGTTCCTACGTTTCAATGTCATTCGCCACAGGTAATGAACACAAACAAAAAAATTGCACAATAACATTACTATTAACGAATAAGTATTGTTTATGTTCGAAATAACCATTTTTTATATAGGGATATTTAAAATTTTCGATCCTTAAATGCTTATACAAATGGAGGAATACCTCGAGGTTACGTACTATGGCCTATTCCTTTCATAATATGTATTGAGAAAATATATCATATTGGATTTATAGGGCATCGGCAAAGTGTTTGTTTTTATTGTTATTAAAAGTGTCAGTGTGTTAAAAAAATAACATCCCTCCATCTGCTATGCATTAGTGGACAAGTCTTTGAAGATGTTTACCAATTTTGTCATGTATAATAATTGATTATTAAAATAATTAAGAGTAAATATTAAAATATGTAGTAGCACAATAGGAACATAAACCCTTTAAGAGCCTAATTTTTGAGAAAAACCATGTTGGTAAGAAAGTTTATCTCGAGGTTGAGATAAAATTTGCCTGAGACCGGACCTGTTTTTTTGCCGACCCCAGCATAGCGACGACTGGCAACGGCGTGCTTTATAAGACTTCATGATGCATTCTCAATGTATATCACCCTATAGTTTAAAAACATGGCATGTTATAATCTAAACTGAAATTACAAGTTTCTATTTAACAGTAGTTGCAATAGATAATGTACAATTTTTAGAATTGAAGTTATACATCAGTTTGGTGGAATTTTTTTTGTTATAAATCATACATATTTGATAGAAAGGTGTTCTCATTGAAATAAAAAATTTCTTGAAAATATTCTGAGATACAGCCGCGAACAGTTCTTAATCAGTCACCCTGTATACATTTATAATATTTTTATAACGAGAATAAATGTGTATGGCGGGAAAGTATTATATTTTGCTTATAATGGTTTCGCGATCTTAAAAAATATAGATAGACGGTAGGTACACATTAAACTTTTTTTGGAAAAAAACTCCAGGTCGTTCAACTGAACGTAACTACGAACTCTCCAAGGTAGAAAGAGTCGGATATAGAGAGAACGAGAGAATAAGCATATATATGTGCGTGTCGCTAGGCCATGCAGCTTTTGCATTTGTAACAGAACCGGGCTCTTATGCTTAAGGAGATAATGATTGAGTTATAAAGCTTTGTTTTTAAATTAAAAATATTAAATTTTAAAAATG